CCTCAGGTACCTAATAAGATCTCTCCCTACAGGGGTGGGCCTGGGAAGACTAGGAATTAAGGGTGCTTAGGGTTCATGATGTGAAATTCCCAAATAAACAATAAAAATACTGTGGGGGGGGGCATTTGCTATAGCTTCCTATGTAATAGTCACACTTAAAACCAATCAATGGCCACAAATGGAGGAGAGGATAAATGACGCCATATCGCCATCACAGGGTGCCGTGTGGGGTGTGTGCACTCACAGACATGCATCACCAGGATGTACTTGATTTTCAGGAAAACATATGTTGCCTGCCTTTTAAAATGAAGATAAAAGCCAAGCATGGTGGCACCCCTTTAATCCCAGCACTCGGGAGGCAGAGGCAGGCAGATCTCTGTGAGTTTGAGGCCAGCCTGGTCTCCAGGACAGCCAGAGCTATGTAGTGAGACCCTATCTCAAAAAAACAAAAACAAAACAAAGGTTGCAGTAGGGGCATGTCTATGACAGTAAAATATCTGTGAAGAGAACCGAGGGCCTCTATGCACTGCCTTTGAACTTTTACGAACTTGTAATTATTTAAAGTTTAAAGGACAGGGCTGGCAGGATGGATCAGTGGGTTGTGGCGCTTGCCACCAAGCCTGACAACCTGAGTTCAGTCCCCAGGACCCACGTAGTGGAAGGAGAAAACTGACTCCCACAATAAATAAACAGATGTAACAGATGCTTTTTAAAAATGAAGTTTGTAGGGGAGGTGGGGGCAATATTTGGACTATTAGAAAGACAGGTGCTAGGAACTGTTATTTATAGGTTTTTATGTGGGCACAGATTCTTACTTTCCTTCAAGGAATCATTTTGTCTGTATTCTCCACTATTAAAGCAGGACTCTGATGGTTGAGCCTGTTGGCTCCTCTGAGAACCCGTGGTTGGGTGGGTCAGTAAACACTTGGAGGAAGGGCATCCTGGAGGCAGAGACAGGCAAATCTCCAAGACACTGAGGACAGCCTGGTCTACGTATGGACTTCCAGGCCAGCCGGTGCCTGGTCCTCCGGCAGGTGTGGGGGGTGTCTGGGGGTCCGGTCCAGCCGCTCTCTTCCTGGGGCTGAACTGGATGGTGAGTGTGGACGACTCAGACCCTCCCCCCATTACTGGGGGGGAGAATACACACTGAGTCGGGAGTCTGTCGAAGCAGGACCTCGATTTATTCCAACAGGCAGGGACTTATAGAGGGCTGAGGTAGGGGATGGGAATCTTAGGATGCGGTAAGGTGACGTGAGGAGTTAAGGGCCAATAATATTCCACCAAGCTGGCAGGTAGCTAGACAGGGGGCAACCTTACATCAGGCCTTGCTGAGTCACCCACCCTCACGTGGAGGTTACAGGTCAGAAACAGGTCCCCAAACTCTAGCCAGGCTCAGGCGCTTACACTGGGCCTGGCATCCGAGCCTTTTTTAGGCCCAACAAGTCAGGACTATATGGTGAGAACTGTCTTTAAAAGAAAAAAGCTTATTGGAGGTAACAGCCCTGGTGTTAGGTGGACATAGTTCTAGGATGTTCTGTACCCAGAATTTTCACATCTCTTACCTGGTAATGGCAATGTCATTCATGCCCACTAGGAGGCAGAAGAGGACGGAGAATGGTTCCCAGCTCTGGGCTGGAGATGACACCAAGCAGGGCTCTCTGGATCTTCCAGTTAAAGGAGCAGGGAAGTTGGCTCATTCGCTCCCTGCCATCGAGGTTGCAGAAGCGGCCCCCGCCGTCCTTTTACCAAGCATCTGGCTTGTCGGAACTTCAGAGATGATGTTATTACTCTGATGCCAAACACCTGGCACCTGGCAGAAGAACCCCATAAACCTGTCCCCTGCGCCCCCTGTCGCCCTGGAACAGTTCTGCATCTGGTATAGACTTCTGGGACAGTGTCTCTCCTGGCCACAAGGGGGCAGTGTGGTACCATCTGGCGGCTTCCAGCATCCAGTCCTCTGTCTGAAAGGCATGCCACAAACAGCTTGGATGTTACCTTCTTACAGAGTGGCTTGTGCGCACATGCACACACACACACACACACACACACACACACACACACACACACACACACACACACACTGCTGTCTTCACAGTCTGGAACAGTTCCAGGATAGGGCAGGCAGGAGTTATGGGGTATAAACCCCAGACACATTCAGAATAGGGGTCCTGGGATCTTCACAGGCCAGATCTGAGGCTGGCCTATTTAGAGACCCTTCCAGTTCCAGACAGTTTTTCAGAATTGTGGGGAGTGCAGGACCTCTCCTGCTCTAAGTGTTCAATAGTCCACAGTTAAACCAGACAATATGAAACTCATGACCCTGAAAACCCAAGATAACTTAGTTAAATCCCCTTGGTCTTTTGGACCATTTTTAAAGAATATAACCAAATTACACCATCCCTTCACGTGTGACTCATGGTCCGAGGCCCCTTAGCAGGGCCCACAAAACTCCACACCACCATCTGGCCCACCTGACCCTCTGCGGACCTCCATCCCACACCCGCCTCGGTCCAAATCAAACACCTCCCACATGCAACACGGTATCTGGGGTCCTCTCTGCCATCCATGCTGTCCCTCCAGAAATCTGCATGGCCCTTATTTCATAGAGGACTCCTCCTCCCTGCAGTCCCCCTTGCCAAGCTTCATCTCTCTCACAGCAGGGATTTACCTGGTGTCACACAAGTGTTATCTGACCGCTGTCTTTCCACTCCAGGAAAGTGTACCCCACCCCCAATGCCCACAACTCTGTCTTTTCTTCACCGGACATTTGGAAGAAATCCCCTGTCTGTTAAATGAACGCATGGCCTAGCCAATGATACACACGTGTTCTGCTGGTGCTGGCCCTTTGTGCATTTAACTCAGTATGTACTGTGATGCTCCTGGCTGTACCCACCGTGCGGGATTCCAGCATCGTGTTTTATTGTCAGGAGAGGGGAGAGGAGAATAAAGCTGATGCAGGCGCAGACGGAAGGGAAAGGTGCCACCCCGCCCAGGACCCTTCTCTTCCCCTCCTGCAGTGGGCATCACGCCAGCCAGAGCACCGCTCCTCGTCCCCCCCCAGGTGCTTCCAAGACAGGGTGACCCCTCCACCATTTGTTTCTTGGACTTCTGTCTCCCAGATGTAGGAAGGTGGAGGCTACATGGCACCCCCACCTTCCTCTGGCACATAATAGGTTCCTTGGGAGCAAGAGTAGCCTGGAAATGTTCTGTCTGCTCCAGCTCGGGGGCAGCCTGGCTTAGGGAGATGGAGATCACCCACTGGGATCCCCCAGCTGGGCACAGGGAGGCACTGGTAGGAGCAATTCGTTCCCTGGTGGCCCATGGGGAGCAGAGAGATGGAGGAGGCCCAGGAATAACAACTGTGCAATGGCAGGGGCTTATACACTCCGGGAGAGGCTGGGCCAGGAGTTTCATGGATTCCACAAAGAGCACTTAGACAGGAAGATCTAAACTAAATGGGGGAGGCCCATGCCTTTAATCCCAACACTTGGGGGACAGAGGCAGACGGACCTCTGTGAATTCAAGGATAGCCTGGTCTACATAGTAAGCTCCAAGACAGCCATGGCTACACAGTAAGACTCTGGAGGGAGGAGGTGGGGTTGGAGAGAGACAAAGAGACAGAGACACAGAAGGAGTACATGTATTAAGGATAGGGGTGGAGGGGGGTGTCTGAGGACACGGTCTTGTCTGGTTCTAGACTCAGGAAGCTCCGAGTGGAAGAGCCTAAAACCCCCTTCTTGCAGAGTCTGCACCTAACTTTTCTCCCCTCCCTCCTCTCCCCCTCCTCTCTCTCTCTCTCTCTCTCTCTCTCTCTCTCTGTCTCTCTCCTCTCTCTGTCTCTCTCTCCTCTCTCTGTCTCTCTGTCTCTCTCTGTCTTTGTCTCTTTCTGTCTATCTCTCTGTCTCTGTCTCTCTCCTCTCTCTGTCTCTGTCTCTCTCCTCTCTCTGTCTCTCTGTCTCTGTCTCTTTCTGTCTATCTCTCTGTCTCTGTCTCTCTCCTCTCTCTGTCTCTGTCTCTCTCCTCTCTCTGTCTCTCTGTCTCTGTCTCTCTCTGTCCCTCTCTCTCTCTCTCTGTCTCTCCCTCTCCCCTCCCCCCTCCCCGTCTCCAGGACCTGTCTCTCTGTCTCTGTCTCTCTGTCTGTCTGTCTCTGTCTCTCTCTGTCCCTCTCTCTCTCTCTGTCTCTGTCTCTCTCTCTCTGTCCCTCTCTCTCTCTCTGTCTCTCCCTCTCCCCTCCCCCCTCCCCGTCTCCAGGACCTGTCTCTCTGTCTCTGTCTCTCTGTCTGTCTGTCTCTGTCTCTCTCTGTCCCTCTCTCTCTCTCTGTCTCTGTCTCTCTCTCTGTCTGTCTCTCTGTCTCTGTCTCTGTCTCTCTCTGTCTCTCTGCCTGTCTCTCTCTGTCTCTGTCTGTCTCTCTCCTCTCTCTGTCTCTCTGTCTCTGTCTCTCTGTCTCTGTCTCTCTCTGTCTGTCTCTGCCTGTCTCTGTCTCTCTCTCTCTCCTCTCTCCTCTGTCTCTGTCTCTCTCTCTCCTCTCTCCTCTGTCTCTGTCTCTGTCTCTCTCTCTGTCTGTCTCTGTCTGTCTGTCTGTCTCTCTCTCCTCTCTCTGTCTCTCTGTCTCTGTCTCTCTGTGTCTCTGTCTGTCTGTCTGTCTGTCTGTCTGTCTGTCTGTCTCTCTCTCTCTCCCCCCAGCCCCTCCCCTCTCCCCGTCTCCAGGGACTGTCTCTCACATCCTTTCTCCTTTCCTCCTTGATTTATGCTGCGGAGTGGAACGACCTTCCCTGACCTCATTTTCATGTCGATGTGAGCACACCCGGAGCCCGCACTGCACATTCCGGAGGAGAAAGCTCGGGACACACTCACACACTCACACTGGCATCGCGGAGCACACCCGAGACTCGGGCTGCTGGACCCTGCCCGGGCCTGGAGTTCACCCCAGCTCTACCATCACTATGGACCCTGCCTGGGCTGTGGCCGCTCAAAGAATAGAAACTCATTAGCATCTTGCTTTGAATATCATTTGCATTTTATTCATCTCTGTCAAAACGCTCAGAACTCTTCCCCAGCCCTCACTTCTTTTCCTGCAGCTTGAGGGTCCTGGGTCCCACCCTCACGGTGTGTTCCTCCTCCTCCTCCTCAGCTATCCTCGCTGGCCCCCACCAAAGGACTGCTCTGCAGATCTCCGGGCAAGAGCCAGGCTCTGTCCTAAAACAAAAACAAAAACGCTACTGTAAGACCTTACAGCATCCACTGAGCAAAGCGCTGCGTTAGAGCCCTTTGAGCGAGGAGCAAACTGAGTCACGAAGGTACTACAGGTATCAGAGCTAAAAATTCGGAACAATGAACTTAAACCCCAGGAAACTGGCCTTCAAAATCAAAAGGTTTGCCACTTGGCTGCCCTACCTCGTGCAAGGTCAAATCTAAGGCAACCGATGTGGGTCTGTTTGCCTACGAGGAACAAAGTCTTCCTCGGGCCAGCCACGACCCCTCCCCCAGCCTGGCCGCTGTGGGTGGGGGGACCAGAGCCCATTCCCAGCTCCCCCTTGTCGCCCGGCTGGCCCCAGTCCTGACCCCTTCCCCCAGCGCAGGATCGGTCGGGTCCCTTCGTCTTGCCCACGGGGTCGTCTGTCCGCACTGGCTAGTTAAGAAAAATAAACACCGTTCCAAACCAAGGCCATTCCTTTCAAGCCGAGCCCCGCCGCCTGCCAGAGAAATGCTAACAGCGGGGGGGAACGGCCCGAGCCCGCCCCGGCCCCCGCGCTCGAGCTGCGGGAGGGAGGGCCGGGCCGGGTAACCTGAGCCTCGGCGCAGGCTCCCCGCGAGCTGCCCTCCGCCTGCCCCTTCGCCCCTGACCCCGCCGGCGACGCACCCGCCCTCCGAGCCCCCCCCCCAAACACCCGCATGGGACCCGGGCCAGCACAGACGCCCGGAGCTGCCCTCGGTCCCCGTCTGGTTCAGCACGGGGACCCCCATCACCGTGGGTCACCCCGGAGGCTCCCTCAGTCTGGAGGCCACATGGCTCCCATCAGCAACACTCTCCCTGCGGTGTCCGCGCTCCAGCCAGTGCTCACCAGGTCTCAGCGCCAGGGTCATTAAACCCCAAAGTGGGAAGGGTACGTGGAGGTGACAGGAAGCCTAATAGATCAAGATTGGGGACTGCCTCTACGTGTGTTTCCCCACCATCCCGCAATGGAGAGAGATACGGGGGTGGGTGGGGAGGAAAAAGGCTCGGACTGGCACAGCCTGGCCACCGTGGGCCCGACACGGGCAAAGGGTTAGCATATAACCGGGAGGGAGTATGCAACTGGGACCAGCCAGGCTCGCAGCCAGGCTCGCTTTGAGGGTGATTTGCTCAAGATTTTCCAAAAAAAAAAAAAAAGTACGGCTCGGGCCACCAGGGGGAGGATGTCCCCTGGCCGCTCTGAACTCTGCTGGGAGCAAGGAAACGCAGCTAGCGAGGACCCGACAGCGCCACCCTCGCTAGTCTTGCTGTTGGAAGGGTTCTAGAGAGGCCCGCGGCGGCACGCGCGTGAGCGCTGGGGGGAACGGGCTGAAAACCTGGAGACTCGGCAAGATGAAGTCACCTGCTCCAGGAGTCGCTGCGCTGAGTGACCGAGCGACCTCGCCTGTCGCACAGGCACCCCGGGGTCCCCCCACTCCTTCACTCACTCCCCCGAGGGTTCACCCCGGAGCCTAGAGGCCTAGAGGATTGGGAAGGGTCGGCGGAGCGCCCGCATCCTTTGAATTCCTTCTCAGCGAAGGTGGGCCGAGCTGACCTCGGCGACAAAAGTTGGGTGTAAAGCTCCTGGCGGCTTCGGGTCGCTTCCACTCCCCAGATTCTGCAGCCGGCATCTGACCGCCCGTCCTAGGGACCGTGTGCCTGCAGGGGCTTCCTCCTCTCCCGGTTCCCGGGATGTCCCGCGCGCACAGGCACGCATTCCTGCACATTTTGAGCTCGCTCCCCGGTGGTCTGTGCACCAGCGTTACTAAGAGCCTTGTCTCACTGTCTCTGAGACTCCGACTCCTCGGCAGTCCCCAGTCTTGGCTTTGCCACCGTCTCTGGACCTGGGCGGCGCTCCGCACTCGTTGAATGTACAGGCCGCTCGCTCGCGGGCACACGTCTTTCCTGCACAGACGTGTCCCGCAGTTCAGAAGGCTCCCTTCTTTGCACTCTAGTTTAGGGAACAGATGTGAACCCGGGAGAATTCTCTTTCCCTACCTAGGTTTTTAGGGAGTTCGGCTAGTGTAGTAAGGGGGGTGTGTAGACGTTTCTTCCAGGGGGCAGAGTCTCTCTAGATTCCTGAGTCGATTCCTTTCGGCCCCTGATGCCGAGCAGTCCCACCAGAAAGAATCTATTCATTTCGGATCAAAAGCACCACTTTGGACGCGGGCAATAAATCTGTGCCCCCTCAAGTCCTCCCGACCGCTGCTCCTCCTGGACCCTGCGGTGTAGACGCCCTTAAAAAGAGCCCCTGGTGGGATCAGATCTGAAACTCCACCTTGGGGTTCCGGGTCCAGCAGCGTTTGACCGGTCAGACCCTGGGTGCCTCTCCTCCAAGTCCGGTTCCCCTTCCGTCACCCAACCCCCTGCCCTCGCGCTCAATCCCCGAGCGAGGACGCGGCTGACAGTTAAATTGCAATGTAGGCCGAGCTGGGGGTTGAAAAGGGACCGCGTGTCTTTAACGGGCCGCGCAGACAAAGCGTCTATCCTCCGAGCAGGAGAAGCTGGGCGCAGCCCCGCACAGACCTGTCAGCGTGTCTCCCGCGCTTGGGAGAGAGTTTGCGAAGTCATAATTATATCTCTTAACCTGTCTTGCTCTCTGTAGAAGAAGGTCCCATTATATTGAAATGAGATTATTAGCCATCAAATACTTTCTTTCTCAGGAGTTTTTTTTTTTCTTTTTTTTTTTTAATTCAAATACCTTAACGACTTGGCAATTGCATTTTCATCAGATTTAGTTGGCGCCCCAGCCCGGTGCGGGAGCCAGGGCAAGAATTCAGCCGGGTGGGGAGGGGCGAGGGGGTCGCAGAGAAAAGCAACCCTTCCTACATCCTTTCCTAGTGCTATTCCACTGGGTAGGGACATCGGGGCTCAGGAAGAGGACAGTGAGATGAGGAATTTCGCAGATGGAGGACTGTCTTCCCTGTCGCCCAGCCCTCTGACTCCAATCATTTCTTCGCAAACGGATTGGGATTTTTCGGTGGGGACGGCCCTAGACGCCTCCCGCACACAGATCAGGCAGCGGAAATTTGATGGCTGGAAGAACAGGAGTGGGGTCTAGGGTACTAGCTGAGGACTAAGGCTGGAGTCGGGCTGCCCTGGGCTTGGCTGTTCCGCTGGAGGCTGGCTCAACACTCCCAGCCAGTTTCCCCGTGGATGGAATTTCAGTGTGTAATAAAGGAGTTTTTCCCGCTACGCCCAAGGTCTGTCTGGTTTTAGCAAAGATTGTGAGCCCCTTGAGGGGAAAAAAAGCCCATCTTATTTCCAGACCCTTGAAGCAGTGTCCCTACTGCCAACAGAGCAGACCTCCCCTCCCCGGGCTGGGGCCTGCGGAGGAACGAGGAACGAGAGGTGGAAGAGTTTTCCAGACAGTGATTGTAAAGACCCGGCTTTGTCTTCTGCTGGGGAGGGGGAACAAGGCGCATGTTTTCCTTGGCTGCAACCTGGACCCAAGGAAAACTTAGGGGGCCAGACGACAGCCACCAGCCTTACCTCCCCTGCACTCCACACAGGGCTGCCAGCACAGGACTGTTTTCTCCAAGAACACTAGCCCTCTTTAAGGAGAACTTAGGAACGGGCATCTGGCTTTGGAGCCAGGTTAAGAGTCACCCAGCCTTTGAGTAGCCTCCCTGATCTCTGAACCTCGTGTCTCTCTGTGTTCTAATCTCTGACACCGTTTTCTTGTGATGAAAAGTCACAGGTCAGGTGTGGTCATCTGAAAGATTCTAGAGAGGGCAACTCAATCTTCTCTTCCTGTCTCTTGGGGGAGGGGGGGTGCTCACCAATTGTGGCCTTAAAAGCTTCCAGATACTCAAGCTCTGTGAGTGAGTGAGCGAGTGAGCGAGCGAGTGTACATGTACACTGTACATTTGTACAGTGGCTGAGAAGGCCAAAGAACATTAGGTCCCCTGGAACTGGAATTACAGATGGTTGTGAACTGCCATGTGGGTGATGGGAATCGAGCCAAGGTCTTCTGGAAGAGCAGCCAGTGCTCCTAACTATGGGTCTACATACAGCAAGAAGCAACTCCTATGGTGAAGGAGGTCTGACCTTCTCCCAGGACCTGGGCTGGCAAGATCTGACAGTCTGAAAACTCTACTCCTGAAGTTCTACAGGATCGAGAAGAAGGGGCTGTGGCTGTTGATTTAAATTATCTAAGAAAGGGAAATGGGTTCTGTGGGAAAGTTTGAAAGCAATGATACTGAACTTGACATACAATTCCCCTCCCTAAGACAAGGCTCCACAGCCACAGTAGGTTCATTAGCTAACCTGTTCCCTCGCCCTGCTCTAATGCTACAGATGGAAGAGGAGGAATGGAAGCAAAATGCTAGAGATGCCCCTGCACCAGAGAGGAGGAGGATCAAATAACGGGGCCAGCGAGATGGCTCATTCCCTGAGGGAGCTGAGTCTGACCACTTAAACGTCACCCCAGGACCTAGACGTGGAAGGAGAAAACCTGCTCCCACAAGCTGCCCTCTGATTTCCACATATTGGCCATGGTGCGTGCACACACACACACACACACACACACACACACAAATCACAAGCACAAGCATGTATGTGGGCACACACACCTGCTGCTTTTGCAAAGGACCAGGTCCAACTCCCAGCATCCACATTTTGAGTTGCTGACAACCACCTTTAACTTCAGTTCCAGGATCTGATGCCCTCTTTTGGCCCCTGCTGGTACTGCATGAGTATGTTGCACATATTCAGAAGCTTGTACACACACACACACACACACACACACACGCACACACACACACACAACTTTTAAACCATTTATAAATTAAAAACTGCACAATGGTACCAGATACTTACTGAGCACTTGCTATGTGCTGGGTGATAAGCATAAATAGTTTCACAAGAAGCTTTAAAACAAAAGGAACCCCCAATTTGGGCTGAAGAGACGGCTCAGCAGTTAAGACTGCTTGCTGTTCCTCCAGAGAATCTGAGTTTACTTCCAAGTACCCTTGTCTGTGTGGCTCACACTACCTGAACTCCAGCTCCACAGCATCCAGCACCCTTTTCTGGACCCAATACATGTGCATTTCCCCACACACACGCCTCACGCATACTCCACATGCATGTACATACATACCACCACATACCCCTCACACACATCCACATAATTAAAAATAAAACATAAAAAACCCACATCTTTAAAAGATATTTCAAAAAGTAGGCCAACCACTATGACACACGCCCGGAATCACAGCACGTGGGTATCAAAGGCAGAGGGTTTCAAGCTTAAGACCAGTTTGGCCCTGTCTCCAAAATCAAAGATTTCAACTGTGACATAGAGATAAGGGCACAAACACCCAGATAATAACAAATGCATTAAGTGAGAAACAGTTAAAAGAAATATTTTGAAGATGTATTTTAATATATATATATGTATATATGAATGTTTTACACATATGTCTGTGTACCATGTGCATGCCTAATGCCTGAAGATGCCAGAAGGCATTGGGTCCCCTGGAACTGGAGTTACCTACAGTTAGGAACCACAATATGGATACTGGGAACTGAACCAGGGAACTCTTGCAAGGGCAGAAAGTGTTCTTAAACAGAGCAGCCTCTCTAGTCCCCCATAGGAGAGTACTCAAGATGAGAAAAAAATGTTATAGGATTGTGATCATGATTACACACATCTGTGAATAATCTAAAATTCACCAAATTGTATACTTTAAAATATGGCATGTGGATTTCAACTTAAAGGTTGCTTAATTTCAAATAGGCAAAGTATGGGACTGGAGAAATGGCTGAGAAGTTAAGAGCACTGACAGCTTTTCCAAAGCACCCAGGTTTGATTCCCAGCAACCACATAGAGGCCTCTTCTGGCCTCTGCAGGTACTGCACACACATACACACACACACACACACATATACACACATACATGTACACATGCATACACACACGTACACATGCATACATACACGCACACACACGCACAAAATAATAATAAACAAATTTTAAAGGAAAAATGAAAGGCAGGGGGTACTGGGGTTCTGCTTATACAATCTATAGTGTTTAGAAAATCCCCACCAAATGCAATGTTCGGGCTGAGTACAACTCACTGCAGTATGAGAACTTGAGTTCGGATTCCCAGCGCCCAGGTAAAGTCAGACACAGTAGCACGTCCATGTAGTCCCAGTGCACCTACAGTGATCTGGGAGGAGACAGCAGACTCTCCAAAAGCACAGGGGCTAGCCTGGTCTACACAGTGGCAAGCAACATCTCAAACAATGTGGAAGTGAAAACTGACACCCAAGGTTGCCCTTTGACCTCAATACACATGAAATGAAGCATGTTAATACCTGTACACAGCACAGTCTGGTTTACATAGCATTGAAACTCACCAAAGGCCTAAGAGCAAGTCATTGTCTTTATCCAATGGAACTGCCATTAGATTTGGCAAAATAAGCCAGACTCAAGAGACAAATACGTCATGTTCTCATATGTAGAGCGTCTATGTGTATGTATATGTATGTGGGAAAGTATAAGGAGTTCAAGGTCATCCTCAGCTGCATAGCGAGTTCAAGGCCTGCCTGGACCACATTAATTCCTGTCTCAAACAGATGAGAAGGAGAAAGAGGAGGAGGAGGAGGGGAGGAATGGAAAGAAATGAAGGAAGAAGGGAGGGAGAGAAAATGAACACCTAAAACTTTCCCACTGAAATGGTAAAACGGGAAGAAAATGGAAAGATCTAAACACATCAGTTTCTGTTATTTTAGTACCCAAGGCATCCTCTCAAGGAGGGGAATCACACCATGTTACAGGAAGAACGACTCATGTCATAATGTCAGCTCTCTATATACATCTAAATTCAATGCAATGCCCAGCAAACCCCAGTAAGTAAGTTTGTGAAGAGTGAGCTGGAGTGCACGGATTCCGTGTCCTCCTGGAACCTGGACACTGCAGAAAAAGTGTCCGCTGTATCCAGAGTGGGCAGCCACGGCTGAAGGACCATCAAGACTGGTGACTCATGCCTGTGACCCCAGAAATCGGGAGCTGAAAGAAGAAACCTCCACAGTTCATGGCCAGCCTCAGCTACGTACCAAATGCAAGGTCCATCTGGACTACATGAGGCCCTGCTCAAGGGGGCCGGTGATGGAGAGGTGGCCCAATGGTTAGCAGTGTTTGCTGCTCTTGCAGGGGACTTAGGTTCAACTCCCAGAACCTACATTGGACGACTCCCAACTGTCTTGAACTCCAGTTCAGTCTGGCACCCTCTCAAGCCTCCACAGGCTCCTTCACCAGCCTGTCACACTTACAATTAGGCACACAATTATAAATAAAGATAAATAAAAATATATTTTGAAAGACACACTGTACTACAGAATTCTGAAAGTCCCAACTGGGTTCACAATGAGGATATAAATATGTCCTCAGTTAAAATAAACAGTTTTACATGTTTACATTAGGCAGAGAAAAATCATAACTGACTAAACATATTCACTTCAGTAAAGGTGGCAGAGAGGACTCGGCATTTTCCACAAGTGACATCACCGGAGAATCTGCCCTGGGGATGTGAACCCCTTCGACGTGGATGAAGGTACTCAGAGATTGCTCTGGCAGAGGTTTAGGGAATGGGTCGATAAAGCCTTTGGGCCACACGCTCATAGGCACCACCTGGCGCAGCGGCACCGGATCTCGCCAAGCTAGCAGCTGGGGTTTGCCCTCCGTTTTCAACTTCGTGGAGCTGTGGGAGAACTGAGTAGGAAGGACCATCACCCTGGGAACCGGTGGCTTCCTCTCGGCTGGCAAGCTGGGCAGCATCCGGGAGGCCGGAAACGAGGCTGGCTCTGGCCTGGGGTGGAGGACCGCTTTTGTCCTCAGGCTGCATCCGCACAGGCAGACCTTAGAGGCATGCTCCTTGGAGGGGCAGAGTTCATTGCCTGGTGAATGGGAGGGCGGGACACCCTGGGTCCCCTGGGTCTTCCACCTCAATCCCTTGAAGAGTCGAGCTTTCCTTTAGAAACGAATGAACAATCGAATGAATGAGTGAGTGAGTGAATGAATGAATGAATGAATGATGAATAAAGCAGAAAGCCAGAACAGTTGGAAGGCCTGGGAGAAAGACAGAGGTCTCCAACCTGACTTCGAACTCATTCTCCACCTTTCCCAAGGACATTGTCTTCCTTCTGCAATGGAAGTAGAGAGGCAGATGCTACCACAGGGGGTATGGCTTGGTTTCCTCTACAGACAGAACAGGGAAAGGGAATCTGGGGGTGGGGAGTGGTGATTAGGAACAGCAGTGGTCCTAGGGGTTTCCAGAGAAGGAAGGGAGGATGCTTTGACAGATGTTCTAGCCCTTCAGGCTGGAGGGTAAAATACCTCCAACATGTCTTCCAAACACCTGGGAGCCGGTCAGACTCACTCCTTCACTTTGATGGGAACTGACATACGACTCAGGGCAAGAGGAGAGGTGGCATGTGGGGCGGACAGGACATTTCAAGCTCCCTACCTCTGGCACTAGCTTTCTGAGTCCACGAGAATCCAAGGAAGACACTGCCCCTGCTGTGTGTGAGGTCACAGCTGATGTCATAGACGGGTGTGTTCATGAGCCCTGAGGACCTCTCTGTGAGGTCACTGAGTTCCCCCACGTCGCCCTGGAGTCAACAAGTCCCTGCTTCTCCTAGGAGTACAGGAACGGCGTTTGTCCATCGAGCACAGACTGGCAGCTGATAAGGGTTGCATTAACTCCACAGGGGTGACATAACAATTACTTTAAATAGATGACTTTAACGGAGAATTATCTGTTCCTCCCACAGCTCAAGAAGCCAGACGTCTATGATCAAGGTATCGGCAGTGTTGGCTGCCTCTAGCGGCTCTGAGAGAAACCTGCTCCATCCTTTTTTCTAGCTCCCGGTGGTGCTTGGGCCAGTTTTATTTTTATTTTATCTGTGATGCTGATAGGAATGTCTGATGTGGGTGCTGGGGACCAAACTCCAGTCCTCTGGAAGAGCAGAAGGCCTGTTAACCACTGGGTCATTTCTAACCCTGATGGTTAGTTTTCATTATTCATGTGAAGTGATCTGGGGTTACCTTGGAAGCAGGCTTCTGGCCATGCCAGTGGGGATGTTCTCCATTGGGTTTGTTGAAGTAGGAAGTTTATTGAATGGTGCCACTGTGGGTGGCACCATTCCCTAGGGAAGGAGTTTCTGATGAATGTGTGTGCAGACAGCCAGATGAGCACTGCCATGCGTACTTTTTTGTTTGTTTTGTTTGTTTGTTTGTTTGTTTTGGTTTTACTAGAAAGGGTTTCTCTGTTTTGTTTTGGAGGCTGTTGGTCCAGCCCAGCCTCGAACTCACAGAGATCCGCCTGCCTCTGCCTCCCTAGTGCTGGGATTAAAGGTGTGCGCCACCACTGCCCGGCTGCCATGTGTACTTTAACTGCTCTCTTAACTAAAGATGTGATGAGACCAGCGACTTCAAGTACCCATTTTCCTTCCCCACCACGATGAATGGCAACTTGGAATTGTGAGCCAAATTAATCCTTTCTCCCTTAGGTGTCGTTCTCGGGTACATTGCCACAGCAACAGGAAAGAAACCAAGACACAGCTCGAAGCCAACCTCTGCCCCACCACTAAACAGTGCTTAGAGGCTCTCCCCTGAGGCATTGTCCCCAGCCGTTGGAGTTGGGGCTACCATAATCAGCGCGACTTATATCTTTGCTCAGATAATTTCATCTGGCAAGTTTTCATTCTGAGTGGCATGAATTTAGGGGAAGGGGACTAATTATGAAGATATGGGCAGGTAAAGCTGGGGAGATTGCAGAGCCAAAGAGCTGTAAACTCTCCCAGGCCTTCTGAACATGGAGAAGGTTCCATCATAGGAACAGGAAGGAGAGCCACGCAAAGGAGTCCATCTGGGGAGAGCTGTGGGCCACCACATAGAGACAAGCCTGAAAGTGAGCCCATCCATCATGCCCCACCCCCTCAGATCTTTGGCCAAGGCCATAGAAGCCATCTTCCAAGGTGACAAAGACACCAACACAGGACAGGAATATCAGAGATCTGGCAGCCATAATCCTGAGAGCAGTTAGAAGCCTGGAATAGGCAAGGTGAGGGCAAAAACTGTGGAGAGGAGTAGGGTCTCCCTAAACATGGGGGAACTCCAGGCATCTCTCTGTGTTGGGTCCCTATGGGTAAGGAATGGACCCCACTCCTGGGAAAGGAGGTTTCATAAAGTCACATCTAAGTCCACGCACTGACCACAACCATATAGCTCCATGGTCATGTTTGTTGCAGATTCCCAACTTTGAAGGGGTTTTATTTTATCAACTTAACTTTTAAAATCTCTGTGTGTGGTGTGTATTTGTGCATGTTTGTATATACATATAGATACAGATATAGATACATAGACATGTATATGATACACGCATGTGTTTGTGTGTGTGTGAATATTTGTGCACACAAGCCACAGTGCACATGTGGAGGTCAGAGAAACTCAGGTGTGCCCCTTTACCTTCACCTTGTTTGAAACAGTGTTTTATCTGCCCCTGTGTACTCCAGGCTGGCTAGCCCCAACGCCTCAGGGAATTCTCCTGCCTCCTCCTCCTGAGTGCTAGATTACATACAAGTGTGCTCTTCCATGCCCAGCTTCCTCTCTTTAACTTTTCTTAATATTTATCTTATGTATGTGTCAGTATGTGTGTCTGTGCACCAGGTGTGTGCAGTACCCACAGATGCCAGAAGAGGGCACAGATCATCAGGAACTGGAGTTGCAGATGGTTGTGAGCTGCCATGTGTGTGCTGGGACCTGAACCCGGATCCCCGGTGCTCTTAACCTCTGAGCCGCCTCTCAGTCCCTCACTCTGTAACTTTTGCCAGTTGTTCCACTGAAGCTGGCCTAGACATTCCAGCCTCCTGAAGCAACTCAGGCTGTTTTTCTTCCTGAAGCCCTTAGTTCCCAGTGGCTCCTGAGCATCCCTGTAGCCAGAAGGCTTTTCTGTATCCCGCCAAGCCCCATAGCTGCTTATAAAACAATCACTCAGAGGCTTAATGTTATTTAAATATTTTGGCCAATGGCTCAGGCTTCTAGCTAGCTAGCTCTTACAACTTAAATTAATGAATAATTCTTATCTATGTGTTTGGCATGTGGTCATGGTGTTACCTCCCTTTTTACATATCCTGCTTCCTCTGCAGCTGGTGGTGTCTCCTCCCAACTCCACCTTCTTTCTCCCTGCTTGGATTTCCTGCCTAGCTGTATTCTGCCCTTCATCAACCAATAAAGGCAACACATATTCGCATCACACAGAAGGACATCCGACATCATTTCCCCTTTTCTGTATAATTAAAAAAGAAGGTTTTAACTTTTAACATTGTAAAATTACATATCATGAAATAGGTATAAAGCAAAAATTGCAGCTATAATATTTAGCCTATTTGTATTTGGCAAAATTAAAGAAAATACTCGGTTATCCTATCTTTGTGAGTCTAAAGTTTCATATCTAATTTGCCTTTTATCATAACTAAGCTGTAACTATCAATTCTTAAGCTCCATCAAAGGCCCCAGAAGGTTATAAAATTACTTAAGTAAACAGGAAGTGCATTGCAAGCAACTTCCAAAACTCTGGAAATGACAGAGATAGCTGGCTGCCTGGACAGTCACCCAAAGTTCTTTTGTAACATGCATGCATCTTCTCTTCAGCCTACGGGTCTAGAGTGTCTGACAAACTTCTCAGTGGCACAGGAAATTTGAAGGACTGTCCTACCTACTTTGGCAACATTTGTTAGTTGCTCTCTTGTGTGTCCTGCAGAATGTCTGGCAGCTTCTGGAATCCTGAAGAACTGTCCCACTTTGTTTTGGCAAAGTTTAGTAGGTCCTGTGTGTCCAGTTTATACAGCATACTGTCAAGAAGTCCAGGCAAGAGCAGTTTCTTGCCCAAAGGGCTATCTCTGACACACATTGTAGCAAACTCCATAAGGAGCTTCTTCCATGCCCATCTCCCTCTTAAAGTAATTGGTGCTACCAGGAGCAGACTTGTCTCACTGTTGAAAACAATTCTAAGTTCTTAAAACATTTTAAATGCCATATTCTGTATGTCTTTGAAGTGTTTGAAGATTACTATCCATTTGAAATATATCTCTATATATCTAGAAAACCTAGCTAGCATGACTATAAGTTTGACTATCATAGATGACTATTAATTTGTATTTCTTAACTACACATTACAATTTTAAATCAGCTGCATAAACATAATATCTTAAGCAAGAGTAGAAATATGTATATATATGTTTATTTACTTACATAATAATAAAATTGACCCTAAATTTGTATCAATAAGCAAAATCCATACCAATGTAAAGTATTTTGAGATTACCAGTTGTTTTTTGGATTAAAATAGACTCAATAATCTACCTTTTTCATCATTTCTATATCATAACCCGTTTTTTCTTTTGAAAGAGGTTGACTATGACCATTAATCATTTATAACCAGCGCCCTTTAAGTGAAAACAAACTTTCACAAATGATATTTTGGGAATTTGGGGTTAGTTCTCTACACTACGCCTATCCCTCCCCTCCAGCTTCCTCCTGCCTCCTTGGCTGGGCCTTGTAGCCCCTACGGTGCTTCCCCTCCCTCCTGACCTCTGAAGAATGGTGTCCCCGGGGCTGAGTCCTCCGTGTTCCTCTGCTTGCTCTCCACAGGATGCCTTCAGTGAGCATGTTCATTTTCTGCAGCTGTAGATCCAGTGGCTGAAAGTAATAGAGATCTATTTTATTTATAATGATTTATTTATTTATTCCCTCACACATCTGGAGTCCAGAAGTCAGAACAATCATATGTCCGCATCCCTGGTAGGGCTCTAGGGAGGTTCCCTGACTTTCTCTTCCAGATGGTGGTGGCTGCCAACCGTCCTAGTCTGTGGCCTCTTAACTCCTCCTCCTGCCTCTGTCTGCATGGCTCTCTTCCCTCTGTGTGTCCATGTTGATCTATTTATTCATTAATTCATCTCTTCTTCTTTTCTTCTCCTCCTCCTCCTCCCCCTGTATTTTTGTTTTGTTTTGAAACAAGGCCTAGGTAGCCCTGGCTGTCCTGAACTCTGAACTCTCTATCTAGACAAGACCAGGCTGGCCTGGAGCTCACAGAGAACTGCCTGCCTCTGCCTCCCAAGAGCTAAGATTTAAAATATGGTCCACTATACCCAGATTTATTTATATTAGTCTTAATTCTGTGTTTGTGTGTGTGTGTGCACATGCGCTTGTGTGTGTTTGTGTGTCTGTGTGTCTGTGTACAAGTATGTGCACTTGAATTCAGGTGCACACAGAGGCCAGCAGAGGGCGGAAGATCCCCTGAAGCCAGAGGTACAGGAAGTTGTGCTCAGCTCAACATATGCACTGTTAACCAAATTCTGAAAGAGCAAATAATTCAAGCACTGAGCCATCTCTCCAGCCCCATTCTTTCTTCTTATAAGGACACCAATTGTGGGGTTACAACTTCATCTTGGCTGCATCTGGGAATCTCCCTATATCCAGATTCACTCACATTCACAGGTTCCTGAGAAGCTCAAGGTTTGGGGAAGACATCACTACTCAGTCCAGGACAGTGATGTCATTGGGCCCCATGGTTTCAAAACTCATCTAAACAGCCCAGACTCTAAAGTTCTTATCTGTCCTGCTTTTCCACACCTCAACTCACATGCCCAGAATGTCTGGGTTCTGCAGGAATCTTTTGGCATCATGGGCTAGAGAGATGGATCAGACGTTAAGATCACTGGCTGCTTTTCCAGAGGACCTGGGTTCAGTTCCCAGCACCCACATAGATCCAACGCCTTCCTTTGTCCCCCTTGCAGGCACCAGGCATGTGCATGGTGCACAGACACATATGCAGGCAAAACACCTATCAGCATAAAAAATACTTTAAAAAATTAACCTACACCAACCAGCATCCACATCATCTGTGAACTACTGGAGCATGGGAAGAGACTGGGCCTGCAGATTCAAAGCTGCGTGACCTCCAAGACAAAAGGCAGCAACAGGATATCCAAAATGAGCCCCAGTAAGGGCCCAGTATTGAGGCTACAGCAGAAGCCAAATGCCATGAACCAGGCCAATGACTCATGGCAGTGAACACTTGTAAGATGTATGGACTAAAGAGTATACTGTGTGACTCACTGTGTCACACTACAGCTTCCATGCCAAGACGTGCGAGTGTGCGCGTGCGTGCGTGCATGTGTGTGTGTGTGTGTGTGTGTGTGTGTGTGTGTGTGTGACATGAGTATAATGCCCTCAGGAAATCAGATCCCCTAGAAATGAAGTCATAGGTGGTTGTGAGCTCTCCCCATCCTGAGCACTGAGACCTAAACTCAGCAGTTGGGCCTCTCCAGCCCCATCATTCAGAGCTTTTTCCAATTTTCCAGTCCAAGCATGCTTCCACTGAATGCCTGAGCCAGCGTATCCTGAACCAGTAGTAAGGGTTGCTACGCATTTCTTGAAATCTATCCATTCCAAAAGAATGATGCTTTCATTCGACAAAGTGAGTGAGGTGTTGGAGATAAAACAGCCAAACACACAAGTTCCGACTTTAGAGAAAGACAAAATTAACAAGCCAGTGTAATATTTTACTTTTATAAGTATGGGAGGAGAAGGAGGAGGAAGACAAAGAGGAGGAAGACAAAGAGAATAAGGTTGAAAGGAAGAAATAATTTAGTAAATTATATTTTCTAACAATAAAATCTTATAAGACACCTACTCTTCTAGAACTGCCATTCCCCCATTAACAGCTGAAGTCAGCTTCCTTACCGTGAATCTCTGAAGGTTTCTAAGGCTGTCTTCACAGCTGCAGAAAGGAGTGGGGCCAGTGAGATGACTTTGGCAGGTGCTGGCAAGCTTGATGATCAGAGTTCAAACCTGGGGACCCTTATAGTGGAAGGAGAGAATCAACTCCCACAGATGTGTCCTCTACTATCTGCCCACCACACACACTCACACACACACACACCACACGCACACAGACACACATACACAGGCACACAGACACACATACACAGACACAGACACACCACACACACACATATACACACCACACACACACGCACGCATGCACACACATATGCACACACAGACACACTCACACACATACACACAGACACATACAGACACACAGACACACACACCACACACACATACACATATACTCACACACACAGACATACAGACACAGACACACACACACACCACACATACACAGACACACACAGACACATGTACACAGACACACAATACACACACAGACACACACAGAGACACACAGAAGCACACACACAGACAAACACACATACACACACACACACACACACGCACACACACACACCAGTCAGTCAGGCAATGTTTTTAAAAACAAAGGAAGGGCCTGGAGAGATTCCTCAGCAATTAAGAGCTCTGCTCTTGCTGAGGACCTGGGTTCAGTTCTTAGCACCCACATGTTGGCTCACAACTATCTGTAACTTCAGTTCCAAGGGATCCGACACCTTCTGGGATATGTAGGTACCTATACACATAAATTTAATAATAGTGAATTAAAGTTACATTAATTTTTTGAAATATGCCATTGTGAAGACCAACTGTACTTTTAGCCTATGATTCTGTTGATATTAAGAAAGACTAAGAACACTTTCTGAGTGTGGGGGGGCAAGTGTATAATCCTAGCACTCAAGAAGCTGCAGAATCAGTGGGGAGGGTCGGGGAGGAGGGGAGGGAGAGGGATCTGGGATTGACATGCGAAACAAGATTGTTTCCAACCTAAATAAACAAAAATAATAATAAAAAGAAGCTGCAGAATCAGTGGGGAGGGCCGGGGAAGAGGGGAGGGAGAGGGAGCTGGGATTGACATGCGAAGCAAGATTGTTTCTAACCTAAATAGAATAATAATAATATAATAATAATAATAATAATAATAATAATAATAATAAGAAGAAGAAGAAGAAGAAGAAGAAGAAGAAGAAGAAGAAGAAGAAGAAGAAGAAGAAGAAGAGGAAGAAGAAGAAGAAGAAGCTGCAGAATCAGTAGTTCAAGGCTACACAGCAAACTGAAGGCTAGCCTGGGCTGCAGGAAACTATGTATCTAAAAATAGATTCTTGTTGGAAACATGGTTTTGCCAACCTTTAGAAGTTCAGTGTGGAGCCGGGTGGTGGTGGCACACGCCTTTAATCCCAGCACTCAGGTGGCAGAGGCAGGTCTGTGA